GATTTTCCATAAGAATATTTATAGGTTTTTTTCCAGGTACTGATTTTTACATGAATTACAAAATTCCAAAGTTAAAAGATCAAATTGTAAAACTATACCAATTTTTAAGGCATGATTGTAAGAAAACGGTTCATCTGAGGGGAAATTCCAATTTTACCTTTTTTGTAGAACATTAAATTTTCTTCAAAAAATATTTTTAAGTCAATTTTGTTAAACTCAATGGTTTGGGAGTTCTGAGACAAAAACTCGCTCAGGAAAAAAAAATCTAAAATTGCGATGATAGACCTCTTAATATTAATATTATGGACTCAAACTTTCACCACAATTTTTTTTGTCACCCCAAACAATATTTTCGATATACTTAAAAAAAATAGTTGATTTTTTTGGCCCAGTCTAATATATAATATATATATTTTGAAATTGAAATAACAAACTTGTTTAAAATATTTTAGAAAAAATTAATTACAAACGCTTTTAAAATTTAAATCGAAATCTTTTTCTGTTAAAATAATAAAATTTCCCATAGGGATAACAAAAAAAAAATTTCGTTTTTGTTTCTTGCATTAGGTATATGTAGCCACTTTTTTCGTATAAATGATATTGATTCTTAAAGAGCATTTTCTACATAAAAATCCATAAAATATTTAGTAGTAAATTAAAAAATAATAATAATAATGTGATCCGTTTTTTTAAGAATGTAAGAACGGGGAATCAGTCTTATCAAAAAATACAAAGAACTAAGTAGTTTTTAATTGTAATGTTTTAGTGTTTAATATTATAAATTTTCCTAAAACATGGTAATTTGAACTAAAAACCTTCATGTTTTCAGTTCAGTTTTAGAAAGAACAATAAGAATCGGAGAGGTATTTTTCTGTAATTTGCCGTTCAGACAGAACGGGCGTCTTCTTGCAAAGTCGGGCGTCGCGGCGCTGAAAACATCTGAATCCACATTCGACCGTCTTTTCTCAAGGCTCCGCCCTGCCCGCCCAGAACTGGCCTATTTCTATACTCAATTTATATCTTGGCAATTCCAACGAAATCTGCATTTCAGATATACATAATTTAAAAAAAATATATTTTTTTTATATTTTATGCATTTTTTACAGGGTGTCTAACAAGCAAACACAGAAAATTGATCAAATTGATCAAATCGATAGACTTTGATATTTTTGCCACCCTCTATCTATGAACAACATTTATGTGGGTTTGTTGTTTTTTCCAGGTCTTCGTAAAAATTAATCAACATAATGTACCGTGCAGAAAAATGGCAACATTTCATCAATAAGTGTAAAAATTTGATTAGTGCTAATTAAATAAATCACCCTATATGTGTTACAATGACGTCGTCCGTGAATGAGTGGCGTAAATGGGGTAGCCAGCACACTGTGTTCAGCCTCCCCTATTTCGTAAGCTGCGTGTAATAGTTTGTTATCTTTTGTTATTACATTTGTTTGATTTTTGGATGACAATTAGACCAACAACATCTGATCGCATCGCATCAGTTCAATCGATATTTTCTTTTCATATTTCTACACCATTGTCAAATTATATAAATACATTGTAAGAAGAAAAAGTAATTCTTTATAATTAAGGTTTTAAAATTTTCAGAAAAATTGACTTTTGCATTTTATTCAAAGGGTACCTAATACGAAAAAATGCAAAAGTCAACTTTTCTGAAATAATATATATATATATAATTATACCTTTTATTTTAATCCATTAAGAATTTTCTACCGGGTCGCAAAAAATATATTCGTTTCATTTGAAACTTCGATTTATTAAATTATAATTTTGTAATTTAACTTTATCTATTTTGCGTTCATAATCACTTCATTATAACACCGCTTTCGGTGCTGTAATGAGATACGAGGTGTGTTCAGAAAATAACGGGAATCGTTAAATTTCGCTGGTTCGGAGGGTCCGGTTGTCATAAAATTTTCTTTATTATGTTGGTATACATGCCCCCGAAGTATGATAAAAACTTTTGCTATTTTCATTGTTTACTTTGTCTGTGGCAGCCGCTAAGGTTAGACGTGTTTTATGAGCTCGGCGATTTTTCGTTCGTTAAAAGAAATGGATCAAAGAATTTTTATCCAATTTTGCTTAAAAAAATGAAATAAATTCTGTGAAATGTTAACAAAGGCCTATAGTGAGTCTGCTATAAGTAAAACAAGAGTTTACAAGTGGTATAAGAGTTTCCAAGATGGCCGTGAAGACGTTGAAGATGACGAACGCCCCGAACGCACAAGCACATTAACAACCGATAAAAACATGGAAAAAGTGGAAGAAATGGTTATAAACCATCAGAGAAGTCGCTGATGATGTTGGTATATCGATTGGCTCATCCCATGAAATCTTTTCGAATGTTTTGGGTATGAAACGCGTGGCAGCAAAATTGTTAAATTTTAAACAAAATTTTTGGCCAAAAACAATACTGTAATGATGCCCCAGCCTCCATATTCGCCAGACATGCCTCTGTCTGACTTTTTCCTATTCCCAAAAATAAAGAGAACCTTAAAGGGCCGTCGTTTTGCAAGCATAGATGACATTAAAAGCGCATCGCTGAAAGAACTAAAGGCTATCCCAAAGATCGAGTTTTAGAAGTGTTTCGAGTATTGGAAGAAGAGCTAGCACATGTGCATAACATCCAATGGGGACTATTTTGAAGGCGACAACATTAATGAGGACGAATAAATAAATATTTGTTTCAAAAAACTAAAATTCCCGATATTTTTTGAACACACCTCGTATACGTATAAGTTGTTGATTGCTACTTTTTGTTCAAATGTGTGTATTTTCCAGAAAAAAAAATATTTTTTTTTTCAAACTTTAAAATAAATAATTCTTCTAAAGCTGTGAAATAAATGAATGATAATGATGTTATTAATTGGCAGATATAAAATTAAGTGGGCGGAAGGAACGAGGTGGTAAAAGAGACATAAAAGATGGCCACTTCCGGAAGGCGGCTAAGCAGCTAATAGTTATGTTAACGGAGCTATTATAATAAGTTAAGGACGGGCGTTCGAAAATCTTGAATCGCTAAGTCTAAGAGCAGCAGGTAAAACTTCGGGTCCTCACCCCTTTAGCGTGTCGTAATCCCCGTTTTATCGACTTTTTAAATTGCTACTTCAACTATTTATCTCTTTAATTGTGCGTTGACATTTAGAAGCAAAGATGCTTAAACAAATGAAAACAATTTTAAAGAATTATCGCGCTACAAGATACCCAATTAAAATTTAATTAAATCCCGTGCCCTTTTATTTGTCGACGAAAATCAGCACTTGTAAATATAATGTTCGACAAACAATACATAAGTATTTTTTAATTTAATTTGAGTTCAATGCTCGTGAAATCTATCAGGAAAATGTTTTTTACGTCGGCTTTATCCTCAATCAGATTCCCGGCATATCTGAGTCGGTCGAACGTCACAAATCGCAGTTGTATGCCTCTACAATTATTTAGGTATTTATTGTCGACAAAACGCGACAATAGTTGAATCTACATTTCAAAAAATAAGAACAACGTTTCGCTGCCCGTTGCAGACCGACCATAAATCTGACTTGATTGGGGTCCTTCTCCTTCTATATACAAGTGTGGTGTCATAAGATCTGCCACAACATAACTTGAGGCTACTTCAATAATATACGAGCTTAACTATCCCTCCACATGTCTATTTCAAACGTACACGTATAGATCATCATTTTCGTCGAGATCATTTACTATTTTTCTATGCCTAGTTTTGACCAAATCTTTTTTATAAACATAAAAAAGTGCACCCTGTACATATATATTTAAAAAAATGTTTAAAAAATAATTTTTATTAATTATTTTCCTGTTATTCAAATCACATTGATGTGCTGACAGCGAACAGGTGTTAGTGGGAGTTAAGTAAGTTATTTTATGTACAGGCACGTTTTTACAGGTAGACGCGCTAATTTAACCTCAACTCTTTTAAATCCCATTATCAACCTTTATTAGCAACTTCTCTTAACTTTACGGCACGAAGAAAAAAAATAATTTAAAAACGTTGAACATTCCGTTATCGGGCGCGTGAAATAATTGCGAAAGATAAGAGGTCCAGATGGTGCGAAAAAAGCTCGGGTGAAAAAAAAAAAAGAGGCGACAACGAGGTATCAGTTTTTTTATGGTCAAAAATCTTTTCTTAAATCTTGATGAAATTAAATGCTAAGTTTTAATGTTCATTCGGTTGAAAAGTTCATATCTATCGCCCCTCCCGTTACGGTCGCAATGTGGCCCTTTGCAAAGAAAATCCACAGTGCGACAGAAATACTAATAGGGTGAAAATATAAAAACTATTTGTGGTTTACACTTAAAAAAAATATGTTTTCAAATACCCTACGAATTTTGGAATAATACATAGCAGTGTACTAACCAACCAAGCCCCATTCATGAATCCCAATTGAATGGGGATATTACTAAATCCCCGGTTGAGGAAGATTCTGGATTGTACTCAGTTTTGGGTCAGTCTAATGTTCCCCGAAAACCAAAATGTTTTCCCTCCTTGTCCCGCACTCACTAGCCTAAATCGGGCGTATGCTCAGCCCGGCGACAAAATGCCGAGAAGGATCTTAACCATCTAAACTGTCATCCACGACCTCCTTAAGATATTTAAGAGAACTGAAAGATGGTGTTTTCAATTTATAAATGTCGTGACATTTGGTTCACTGTGCGGCATGCGCTTGAAAAAGGGAATTTAATTAAGTAAAATTACACTGCTTGTACTTTAATTATGTTAGTATCGCAGTTTTTACGGCAAGTGGCGTCCTCCTCCCTTACAATTTACACGATCGAAAGTCAGTCACATTTTGACGCGGCTGAACGATCAAAAGGTGTCGCAAAGAGAGGCCGAAAAGGAGAATCCGCAATTTTCAACTGTCGAGGCACTGATTCGCAAAATGTCGACGAGAACGCGCGCCCCCTTAGTTTTTTCTCGCCCGCTTAAATTCAATTAAATCTCCAGTTTTACTTAATTCACTTACCGTGATCGAAAAGAAAGCTGGATTTCGCCAGAGCGTGGGCGGCTGGAGGCAGCCCTGGCACCGAAAATGTGTAGCCGGAATTGTTGAAGCCGCCACCAAACAATGGACCTACTGCAACAAACAATTTTGTTAAATAATATACAAAAAAAAAATAAAAAAAAGTGCTCTTTTAGCCAAATGAATGGCTTGAGCGGGTTAGGGGTGGGAACGGACCGCGGGCTTAAAGTCCCCTCCGAAGGACTATTACACAATAGGACAAACACAAATAAACAGCCATACCCTTGGTGGGATTCGAACCCACGACCTCTTGGCTTGTAGTCAGCAGCACTAACCACTAGTCCACCGTCGGCAGTGCACCATGGTTAATAATAATAGTAATAATCATTTATTAGCACAAAATTTGACATTTAATGTCATTTAAAAAATCACAACGTCAAAATATCACAATAAAAAGTTTTTCTTGACATATGCAATCATCAAGTTTTTTAAATATTTTAATTTTATCACAGTTTTCTATATCTATTTTGCAAAAATTCTATAAAAAAAATTAATTTTATACCTTAAATTTAATTTGGTCGAATTTTACTTTAGATAGTTCACAGTTCACAGTCATTGGTTTGACAGATTATGTCAAAATCGATTCGCCATGCCGTCCTTAATTTACTTATTTACAACAAGCGGCTGTTAATGTTAAAGAAGAAAAAAATTTATTGCCAGAAAAGTCTCGTAAGTACTAGAAAAATCATAAAAATATTATAACCAATATGCAAAATATTATGCTGTTTAAAGTATAGCCAACCTATAAAATCAAAATTTTGGGTGGAATAAAGTATCTCATTACAGCACCGAAAGCGGTGTTATAATGGAGTCATTACGAACGCAAAATAAATAAAGTTAATTTTTGGTGTACCTGTTAACTCTATCGAAAGCCATTAATAGTATTTAAAATTTTTATACAGGGTGTATGGTATTTACGTTGACTTTTTTTTCTCAATTTAAATACCAATAACTTTCTTATTTCAAACGAAACTACCGTACAATTTTTACACCATTCGACATAAAATAATGTTTTCTATTATAATGCTGCAGAATTCCCTATACCTAAAATAGATATTACAAAAAATGTAAAAAAAACTGCGTCTCTGACACTTGGGTGATAATAATTACACTAATCAAGATATTCTAAACATGTTTTACACATATTATAATGTGTAATATATATTGTGCGTGAAATAGAAAAAATTCTAGAATTTTAAAATGCAATAATAAGTTGAAGCATTAAAAATAATTTAACAAAATAGTTAACATTGACTTATAATTGCTATACAAATTTCAAATCGATAACTTTTTTCGTTCTCCATAAACTTCTAAAAGAATAAGTTGGGTAAATCACGCTGTATAATCAGAGTAATAAAGCCACCTTTTTCTTGATATCAGTGTACAGATATTTGGAAATTTTCAGAAAAATTGACTATCTCATTTTTTTGTATTACCCTTTAAATAAAATGAAAAAAATGAAAAAAATTTGCCAGCTAAATTTTTACGGAAATTTTAAAACCGAATATTTCTTTCACCAGGTTTAGAGTTAAAACGGCGTGTGTTTTTTTAATTGTACACATTTCCACCCTTTCGCCTTTTTAACTTTTTTTTTTATTTAATCTGTAGCAAGTTTCGTTTCTACTTAAAATATTTGTATTTACCTTCAAGCAACAATTGTAATACTACCCCAAGCGTTTAGGCACCCCAGTTATCGAATTCCCGTATATATTTACAGATTTTCAGGGATTATAAAAAACGACGGCCCGTTTATTATTATAATCTTGACATATTACCTTGTCTTCAATGTTATGTATTGAATTATGTATATTCGTTAGCTCCCGATAATAAAATTAATAATCATTATTGTAAAAAATTAACAGAGTAGAACTTAATTTTTGTTGGTGCAAGCGGAGTAAAAGATGTGCGACAATATCGCAGCTGTAGGATCCCCTTATATAAATATGGAACCCCGTGAGAAATCAATTTGCATTTTATTGTTATTATATTTACTTGCAAACATGACTTTTTATTCGACTTCTGTTTTCTTCATATTTCAAAATTTGTCACTAACTGAATTAGATGGCAGTAAAGTTTTTATTGGGGTCGAATCGTTTTCTTTGATTGGTAGCATTTTATTACGTACGAGAGCATATTGTTTTTTTATGTTATGCGTAAGTTTTCAAAAATGTTTGGCTATTGAAGTTGAGGAATGACGAGGGTATACCTATAGGAGGAAGTAAATAAAATCGTAGGTAAGCGCATTGAATGAATCGACTTGTATTCATTGACTTCCGGACCTTTAAATAATATAATAACTAGCAACAGCTTTCAGTCCATTGTTGTTCAGTTCTTAGTTTGGGAATGGACACAGTTAATTGGATAACCATTGTCGATGGGATTGGTGTAGTTTTTGCATATCGCTCTGTATATAAATTTATTTCCATAAACATGTAAGGCCCTTGTTGTTGAACTTGTATCTTCGCATTCTCGAACTGGAAACGAAAAGCGCAGCAGACAACTTATTTATGTTTGGATTGTTTTCAAAATGCCGACGTTTTCCCACTACTGTTGTTTTTCGAATGGACTCATCGATGTAGGAAATTTTTCAAACTCTCAAACAATTTTACGGAATCTTGTATAGTCACGACACCGCAACCTCAAGTGGCTTATTTTACGCTCTCTTACATGTCGCAATTTATCCTGTTTTGCGAAAATGTTACCAAAACACTAATTAGCTGGCTCTCAACATTTAAATACAGGGTTAAATATTAGAGGGGAAAGACAATGCCCGTGCAGGTAGATTTATTTGATTTTAAGAAGCAATTGATTAGCATATTATTGTGATCGCAGTATGCGTATAAACATTGACGTTTTGCTTTGAAGTAAAAGAACAGATGAACGATGAAAATAAATCTATTGGGCAAGAGAATCAATCGGGAAAAGTTTTACGTCAAAGTCCAATGTTTTGGCGATGCTCGGGCATACGCTTTGTTGAGCTTTCAGAATGACAAGCGGCAGCTGTAACGCAGGGACTGGAACTTCCAGTAAAACAGTTGAGACCGATGACTAGATGATAAGGTAATAAGCAGAACCTACTTGATATTTAAATACATGAATTATGTAGATATAGTTCTTCTTATTCGATTGGACATATTGATATTCCGCTCGATGTTATTAATAGTCACAATTTACACACAATACAATACGAAACTACCCAAGTCAACCATTCAATGCAATTTATATTCAAATTCATTACATTCATTTGTATAATTGTACCAACTTTCCTACCTCTATAGCGATAGCATACCTACCGACCATTTGCACAATTACACAGGTTTACAAAAATCGATCAAAAGTTTTTTAAATTCATATACAGGGTGTATCTGCATTTATTTGCGACCATCTGAAACCCTTCAAGTATGTAAAAACTAAAAACATTTTTTATTCAAATGTTCTAAGAAAATAGTGGTAGCAAGAATCTGTTTCGGCGATCGTCTCTCTCACAAAAAAGGGAATATTTGATTTTTATCGATTGCCGAGATCTCTGGTAACAGAGCCCAAAGAAGTGTCCACCGGTGTGCTCAGGACTAATGTACTGGCTTAGTGGCCACGACAAATCACACAATTCCTTTTCATAAATCAATTAAGCTTGTGTATACGAACATGCCGTCCATAGATTTGTAAGCCTTTCGGTAAAAGAGGTACAAAGTTAGAATTTAAGCGGACAATGATCATGAGTCATGATTTCGAAAATCAGTGTGAAACTACTTCTATTAGTCACTAAAAACAACCATACAGTTGAGAAAAATGATTTTTGCCATACATTTTTTCTTAAAAATTGATAAATAAATAGCTATAATAACAGCGTATTTTAGTATAAAGTTCATAATAGTATATTAAAGAACTAATGTCATAAGACGTCATTTTGACGCACACCACAACGACAAAAGGTCTTATGACGAGTTCTTTATGCTATTTCATCTATTTTGCAAAAATTCTATAAAAAAAATTAATTTTATACCTTAAATTTAATTTGGTCGAATTTTACTTTAGATAGTTGGTATCACAGTCATTGGTTTGACAGTTAATGTCAAAATCGATTCGCCATGCCGTCCTTAATTTACTTATTTACAATAAGCGGCTGTTTATGTTAAAGAAGAAAAAGGATTTTCTTTGGTGTTAAACAAAATTTATTGCCAGAAAAGTCTCGTAAGTACTAGAAAAATCAAAAATATCAAAATATTATGCTGTTTAAAGTATAGCCAACCTATAAAATCAAAATTTTGGGTGGGATAAAGTATCTCATTACAGCACCGAAAGCGGTGTTTTATGTCATTATGAACGCAAAATAGATAAAATTATTTTTCAAATTTTACTTTTCCACGATTTTCAAACGAGTTGAATACTTTAAAAAATATTGAACATAACCTAGAAATCATAAACAAATATTAGAACAAAAACAACACCAAAACAAAACACAAAGCGCTTAAAGTACTTTTAGCCAACGATGTTGGCATCTCCAGAAGCAAAGTGTAACTTCGCTTCTGAATATTCTGAATATTTCTAATATTTGTTAAACATTTCACCAAAGTTGTCCTTTTTCAAGTACTGGAAATCATGCTAGATGCATTCGTAATTCTTGACACATCTGTTCTTCAAGGTCGTCGAAGCGTTTTAAATGTTATGATTTTCAAAACGCTGTAGCAATAATTGAGAATTGAAAATATGCATTTTTTTGTATTTTAAGTATATTTTTTTAAATTTATCTATAATAATAAATAAATAAATAAAAATAAATTTGTTACCTTAAAATAAAAATGCAAATCAATAAATTTTTCAATCATAAATCATTGCGATTAATGGTATTGGGTTACGAATTTCCGCTTAATGTGCTGTTATCAGCAATATTTCCACACAGCAATAAAACTTGAGTATAGCCAACAAAATGTTATTTTTGGGTGACTGTGCCATGTTTCCTCTAACATGTTAAATAGGAAATTCGTCGCTACCTTTTGGATGGTTTCGACAAAAAAAAGCGCCTTTGTGTAGGGACAGTAAATTCCGAACATAAT